CCACGTATTGTTCGACATTGAACAGTGATTGCTGTTGGCTGTTGGCACACAATAATGATTTAGAATTACACAAGTATTACTTACCTGACTTTGGTAAGTTAATAGGAAGTATCCCGCTATAATTCATTGCTCGTAAAATTGGTCTCATTTAGTTGAAGTAATGTTTATCTGTAAGTGTGAATTGTAAGATTACTGCATGTGGTGAAGTAATGGCAGCAGGTTTAATAAGTCTTAAGAAATGCATGCCTCCATTTTCTGGACCAATTCGAGACATTGCGACAAACACTATCAGCTTTATCTTCAATAGAAAGAACCTGTCTTCTGTTTAGCTTTTTTTTACAATAAAGACAATGTACCTTAGTAAGCCTTATATAATAAGCAAATGGATTTACCTTTGCTCTGTGCGAACACATGAATTATTGTTCTGAAAGCCTTCTAATAGCTTACATTTAATCGCTTTATCTTGCGATCTGATGAGCGCTAGAGCGCTAAAATATTACACATATATATGTATATATATATATATATATATATATATATATATATACATATGAAAGAGTTTTCTTATAATCAAGCGCATAAATATTCAGGAACGTCAAATTTTACACCTAGACAATACAAAATTATATTCCAAAATACTAGTTTGTGTTTCAGAAGATAACATGTCATGATATAAATTATATAAATTCAATTTACTAACGTCATTGGTAGGCTTACGCATTTGTGTAAACATGTATGTAGAAATATATTCCTACTGTATGTGTGTATATAGTCTTACAGAGATGTTCCTAAGAGATGTATACACACAAGGTTAACATTCCGTCAAGTAATATGTACACATCTATTTGGGACATTAAATATGTATGCATTATCATTATAACTGAACTTCAAATACAGCTTCGAATGAAACGCATGATAGACTACGTAATCGATCGTGACTTATTTGATGCTATTATCAAGGTCCTCGTTCCAGATACTACAGAAATTCACCAAGAGTCTACACTTCAGAGCTGCAATTCAGAAATGATGCAGCAGAGTAGCAATCATAACCTCACATATAATGGAACGAGTTGTAAATTGAGAAAAATTAATACTGGCAGAATTCGTGAATGAGGGTCTCTTGTCAGCCCGCACAGAGCAATCTTTTCTTGAAGCTCCAGTTATGGGCGGTAGCTGCGAGGAAATTGATTAAAGAAATCTCAAGAGGGCAACCGACAAAAGATGGTTCTTAGCGGTCCTCCGAGAACGTCTGGAAAACGACGGGGTGAAGGGTGGGATAATATTAAAATCGGTCGGATTGGATTCATCTAGTTCATTTGCAATGCTATATGTCAGGCTCCTGCAAACTCGATAACAAAAAAGCAGATAACTTTTTAACTAGATGAGCAAGTATTATCTTATCAAGTAAGATTCTTGTTCTTTGCAGAAAAATGTAATTTTCTTTTTTTATGAAATCTGACTTTTAGTGATTTGTAATGATTTTGTGTGGTATCTACTTAAAACATTTGCCATGCGTTGCTAAACTAAGTAAGGATTATATAAACGGTAAGAATATCCATACAAAAATGTAATATTTGAGTATAATATATTCGACGTTTCCTAGTAAACATTCATAATTCTCACCGTTTGTGACATGGGTCGAAACAACTCGCTCAGACATCTTTACTTAAATCGAGCCTGGAAAATGACCGGCTTTAATGCAGTAGAGTTCCAAAAATCCAACCTTCAGATATCCGACATTCCGGTTCATCCGACGTACCATGTCGGAACGCTCCATTTTATGTACACTCAACTCAGAAATTAGCGGAATGAATTACACTATTGAGACTGCGCTTGTTTACGTTGAACGACAAAGAAAGGCGAGCGATAGAGACGCACTACTGTTCCCAGAATGGCATGACCTTGCAGCAAAGAAATGAAAGTAGTCTCAGAAGTAGATTCACATTAACGATTACTTAAAAAAAATAAACTCTTTTATTTACATTATGCTCAATACTGTTTTGTTTGAGAGATATTTTGTTTGATGCCATATTGTATTTTCTTCATAATTTAACAATATCTTAAATTGAGTTTTGAACTGAGATTACGCTCGTCTGTTTCATTAGACCTCCGTTTTATCTGACAGCCTTTCGGTCCTGTTTAGGTCTGGACTCTGGAACCTACTGTAAATAAATCTCGCAGTAAAAACTAAAATAGGCAACCATATTGAGCGATTCATAAGGAAAACTGTTGATGTAAACAGCTGAGAGAAGTGATTGTAAATGTATACATCATTGGTCAGTGTGTCACTAAATGACTTCATCAGCAATAAATGAAGATTAGGACCAAAACGCTGGTATCTAATTACGAGTCTACACGACCAAAACTCAGGATTATATTTCGATCTAAGCTTCTGTCCAACAAATTACTACAGGCAACTTTTGTTGTCACCCAAACGTGCTACAATACTTGATAGTCAAACACCCATCTTTTATCGTAACAGACGAAAATCTAAAATAAACTCCTTTGAAGTACTTCATATTCTTCATTTTTCGAAGAAGAAGTGTCTCTGAGGTAAAATGTAATGAGAGAATTTATAATTGTCCGCACTTTTATTTATAAAATTCTCTAAAACAAAACTAACTTAAAATATCTGGTGGATAACACCAGATATTTTGGATTGTGAAAAATTCTTTTTTGCGACTCTAGAGCAGTAATATTTGTTACTGGTAATGTTGTCTTACGATATATTTTAATTTCCGAACAACGTACTACGTCTTCTTAGTGGCAAAAAAAGAACGTAGTTCCGAGTTACACTACACACAGACACATTCAGCCTATGAAAAATATCATCCCATGCCTAATTAAATTAAGTTGTCCTTGCTGCTGGTGCATAATTAAGTAATTAAATAAAGAAAGCATTGGACTTGGCCCTCTAGCTCCCCCACTGACTCACAATCGGCTTCGACAACGGTCGCTTAAGAGGCATGTTTGTGTGACTTGAATGAAAAGATGCCATTGAACTCGCTGTGTCGCATATGGAACCTCTTGTCATTATCGATCCTTTACACATATAATTGTGCAAGACCACATGTATTGTTTGATAATTTTAGTTTTTGTTATTAATAGATACACGTAATTATCAACCATATTATAAGAGTCAGTAAGCTACAGATGCTACGGACTACACTGTAGAGATATTGAACTATAAATACGATAAGGAAATTACTATACAGGAATTCGATTATACTAATACACCCACGCGTCTCTAATTAAGTGTCGCCCTATGATGAACTCCCGCAGCTGTTAATGAGTCTGTTTGCCCCCTCCGGCACTTCGATAGCACACGACGCACTTTTAATCGCTTTCTAAACCACTGTCTGTAAGCACAACGCGGACTGCACTGGAATTCACCACCGAACGTTACGTTCTACACTGCATTACGCCTAACACAGTCTTGCTTCACAGTTTTCTAACTCAAGATGCTGCAAACTGGTGTAAATTTAATTCAATATATATATCTACTCTTTTGCTACAAGCGGACTTGAATATCAGTTCTTGAGTGTCCAACGCACTCAATCAACAGACTTCCGCTCAGTCCTCGCTCCCGTATCCCATCATCATCCTTCGGGATACAACAGTTGTCTGCCGACGTATGATGTAGGAGTGTGAGTGGATCGTGTCCATGTGCGATGTCATGTGACGCTGCTTTTGCATACTGAAATAATTAAGTAAGTAAGTAAGTTTAGCAGGTAGCCTACCTAATACGTCGCTGGTAGCCGGGAAGTTAGACTGCCTGAAACGGAGGATGCGCACTGCGTTATTGTTTCGGAGTTTTATCATTCTGGTTGTCTCGTTTCCGAGGCTGTTTGAAGGGTAGGCGTGTTTCTGAAAACTATGTATTCCGGTAGTAGCAATGACGATGAAAAAATATTGGATAGCTGTTCCTAAATTCTTCTGATTGTTGCAAGAATAATCTCTGCTGTAGTATCAAGCGCATCCAGTAATGTTGACAAACGTTTCGGATAATATCACCATCCTTATCAAAAAGTACGAAATTATTCAAGTCGACTTTTTCGAATATTTAAGAATACAAAGGGAGATAGGAATTAGCTCTATGGATTGGGGCCTACAGAGTAGGTTTTACCTTACGTAAAGATGGACATAGACTCCCATATACGAATCGTAGAGGTTTTATTGATTTTATTTAATCTTGGACGATGGATAATGTACAGAAAACAATTTTCTCCATGTCATAATAGAACTTGAAACCTTTGATAAAATTTTGAGTGTGAGAAGCAAAAAGATGCACAGATATGGAAAAACTGTCATGGAAATCAAATCGTGAAGAAAGGACTTGTGCTTAAATTGAGGAGCAGTGAAATAATTTTTGTTCCAGTGAGCAGTAATATATATATTTGTCAAAATAGATAGATAGGCCTAATTATTATTTGTACTTTAAATTATATCGTTAATTCCGTAATTTTCATTAAGTTATACTCTTTTTACATATAGAAACTCAGCTACTGGTGTTTCATTTAGACACATGGCATTTGAATTTCGAATGGGTGCTTATGACGTTGGACTAATTATGAAGGAGGCTGTATAGCTCCTGTATTGCAAACTCTGCGTATGCCGTAGCCAACACTTGAAAGATTAAATAAAACTGCAGAAAAATATCGTAGAATTTGGAACTGTCCACAGTGCCTTGGAGCATATTCCCTTTGTCTGTCCTGCAAATTTAGGGCACAATAAATGCACTTCAATTACAAGTCATACTATTCAAATATAGCTAAAAGGCGTGCTGCCTATAACAAGGTGACCAACTCACCCAAGCCTCTCCTGATTAACTGATAGATGGATCTAGCAGTCTAATCATGAATGAGTAGAAATTGTCTCGGCGCAGTGGGCTGGTCAATCACTACTCACAAAATGCAAGCTTAAAACGACTAGGAAAACCTCCGAAATGGAGGTGGCGAAGACCCATAACTGGGTTGTAGAGCCAAGAAAGAAGAAAGTTATTAAAGTACGATACGTGTTTATTACAGGCGAAATATAACCTCTGATTCATAGTGTACTCAAAACATACAGCGGTAAAAATCTTGATGTAGACAGTGTCTACTACAACAAACAATCCAAGTCCCGTTGTTTTGTGTATATAATGACTCGTCTAATTTGTCTTTGAAATTTTAATAGGTATTTTATTAACGGTTAATAAATAATACATTCTAACATGGACAGACATGTTTCAAATTACTTTCTTATTTACGGACATTCTACGTGTAATATGTCCGTACGCTAGGTTCTTCTACAACACAGGTCTAAATGTGATGGTTCCCTTGTGGAATTTCTATTGCTTAAATGCTATTTAGTGGTATTCTGAGTTGCATTCATCTGACGGTTGTTGGGCTGTCCCATTCCAAACTGCAGTAGAACTATCATATACGTCACCACTGTAGAAGCATACTGTAAGAAAGCAGTGGGACACTCAGTAAGAAATTAGTACTAGGATAAATTGATCAAATAACCACAATAGAAAAGGATCTGGAAGTTCAAAATAGTGTTTTTATAGTTCTCCTTTACGAATTATTGTTCAATTTGTGTAAGCTAAAACAATAATTTAAATCAGTGTAATCAACATTTTTATCAGTTATTCAGTTTCTTTACATGATCAACTATATGTTTCAGTCTGTAAGCTAACAGTGCTTTTATAGCATTACACAAGTGGATTAAACACTAGCAGGTGAAACGATAATAAAAGGTGACTCTCTACATGTTAACCGCTTATATCCAAGGATTATTTGACATAGATTACATATTTAATACAATAGTAAAATTATACATGTATTGGAATTGAATTTGACATTGCAAAATGGTCTGAGACATGTGAAGTGCAAAATATATTTGACTGATGTCGTGGGTTTTTCGGAGCTCGAAATTGCATTTTCAATCGTGTTGACATTTATATCCTCTTTCTGTAACATCGACTTAATAGACTCCTATCTACGTTTAATTATAACTAAATTTCTATATGAATTTGTTATGTCTTCTACGCAAGTTCCTCATCTGTCTTATATTCTTTGATTCTATTGCCCTAATAATATTTGGTTAATAGTAAGAATTACTTTACAATTACTTTTCCTTGCACAAATTCCTTCCACTCTGGTTATCACACCACACGCCTATGTTCTCCTTTAAGTAAATAACACAATTAAATGTTTTGCAGGCCTATCAAATTCCTTAATAGAGAGCGTCTGATGGACATGAAGTCTTTTATCAGACACCCATTATTTGGTGGGATTTGTGGTTTTCATGGCGGCGAGTATGAAGATGGCTTAGATGGATGTCTTCTTGGTATCAGCGCTGCGTAGACTGGAAGAATTTTACTAACGTTTCAGATGTGCTATCACCTATGAAACTTTGTAAACTTCTACGAGACTACGCGGCGCTACAACCCAGAGGACAGCCATCTTCACCGTTTATTTAGCACTCTGTTACAAATACTGATCGCTGGCACATGCGAATGCTCAAATATATTTTGTCAGGGCATCTAATATCAGCTGTTGGTCTATGCTGATGATGTGAATCTGTTTGGCGACAATATAAACACCAAAAAAAACCGAACACAGAAACACTCTCAAGGGCTGGTCGGGATGTGGTTCTAGAAATAATTTCAGGAAAGACAAAGTCTATGATCAGACCAGAAACAGAATATAAAGATAGCAAATAAATCGTTAGAAATTTTGACAAGATTCAAGTGGATGGGGCGACACTAACAAGTCAGAATGAAATTTATCACGAAATCAAGAACAGATTATTTCAGGGAATGCTTCCTATCATACAATCCAAAATCGTTTTTCCTCCTGTCAATTTTAAAAAATAGCTAAAAGTTAAAATATACAAAAGTGTAATTTTGCCAATTGTGCTGTATGGGTGCGAAAAAAACTTCGGCTCTCATTTTGAGAGGGAAACAAAACTTGAGGGATTTTGAGAAAGATATTTGGAATATGGAGAGACGGATTATTGAGAACAATGCATGATGATGAGCTTTACGGGTTGTACGACTAACCTGATATTCATAAGATAGTATAATTGCGTCATATTGTGAATCAAATATTAAATTAATTATTCGGTTTTTGTCCGTCTAATCACAATTATATTTAAAATTTACAAACAAGATAATTAAAATATAATTTTATGTTCCACATCGAATAATCGATTTACATTTGGAACATTTTGACAACATATTTCGGTTTCATCGAACCATCTTCAGATGTAAAATTATATCGACAAACTTAAAACTCAATTACAATTTCTGTTGTGTAGCTTTTTAGTGATGTTTTCTGGTGATTTTCATATCCAGATTATTTTCACATATTGGAGCAAATGTATTGTTTTGAAGTGAAATGCTTTTGATGTTCTACATCGGCCTGTAAAGCAAATGATTCAAAGAAACACTAATGAATATAAGAGAATATAGAAAACAAAATGAAATAATAATTATATAAATCAAAGGTAAAATTAAACATACCAAAGATGATAGTGTAGACACGTTGATGTGTCTGGAGGTGTCTAGAAGTACTAGCGTATCCGACCAGGCATGGTTCAATACTGATGTTCTAAATGTAAATCGATTATTCGATGTGGAACATAAAATTATATTTTAATTATCTTATTTGTAAATTTTAAATATAATTGTGATTAGACGGACAAAAACCGAATAATTAACCTGATATTTTTATGGTGATTAAATCGAGGAGGATGAGGTGAGCGGGACATTCAGCACGCATGAGAAAAGAGGCGGTTGTTTACAAGGTATTGGTTGGGAGGCCTGAAGGGAGAAGACCGCTGGGAAGACCTAGACGTAGGTGGGATGATAACGTTAAGATGGACCTTAGGAAGATAGGAATCGATGGAAAGAAACTAAATGCAGTTAACTCAGGATGGAGTCCGGTGGCTGGCGTTTGTGAACATGAACAGGAAGTGGGCTATTCTTTGAAAAAGACGAGTAACAATCAACATTTCAAAGAACATCCTGCACAACAGAATTAGTTAAAGGTACCTATTATATCTTTCTGAAACTTTTGCAAGATCAAATATTTTCAAATTATAGAAGCGGATCGTTTACAGAAGACGGTAGAGCGAATTATATTAGGTGAATGCGTCATATTGTTCAGTTTGTGTTGTATCTAAAGCGTAAATATTACAATATACGAAAAGGGGTGATTCCTAAAATTTAAAGAACTCTGAATTCTTAATGTCTTTTAAGGGTATGAAACTTAATCCCTGTCTCATCAAAGGAAAATAATACATATAGAAAATTATAAGGGTAAACAAATCAAGGTATATGAGATGAACAAGGAATGTAGCCCGCTTGTCTGGGACAAGAACTGCATAAACAATTTCAGTCGGAGACAACTGAAGGGCAGAGACCTCTTGGGAGACCTGTACTTAGATGGGAAATAAATATTAAAATTGACCTTAAATATTTATGTTTAAAAATGTAGAATAGATTCATATGACAGGTTAGTGTCGCTGACATGCTGTTTTGAACATCACACAATTTTAATGTTTTGCAGAATTTGGGAGTTTCCTCATTTGAGCGACCATCGTTTTTACATGGACTATTGGCCGTGATGTTAGAAATACGAGGCCCGTATTTTTTATTTTATTTAAAACGGCGGAGTGTGATATATTAATGGATATGACGAAAGCAAGACAATTCAAAATGTGTACTGAAGGGTGATTATATCGCAGATACTATAGTTTAGTTGATGTGACGGTCTCAATCTTACCGATCTGAGCATTTCCCTGTTTACATCGAAGAATCCAGCCACTGATATCACTGGGGGATGCGATGATATTGTATTCAGGAAAGCGTTCACCTGCACTTATACAAGGAAAGAAGATGACGTTCCAGGAATTAAAGCGAGAAGCCGAGAATAGGGACAACTGGAGAGCTCTTTTTGGGCAGAGCAATGGACCTGTCGTAAGACAGAACACTTAATAATAATAATAATGATAAAACCGACGGTTAGAATGCGTAAAATGCAAGCGCCATTTTGATCAACTGTTAGTATCCTACGTGTCCATAGTTCTGTATTTTACACGCAAATTTCCGCTTGCGATACGTGAGAAATAATAAGTCTTTAGTAGCGGAAATATAAACTTTTCATCTCCAAATAATACAAATTCAGTACATTTAATTAACATCAAAATGTCTTTTAAATATTGATGGCAATTTGATGCGAGTTTATAGACTGGCAATGAAAGGAATTAGCAGTGTATACGTGTACTTACTATATGTAGGCTTCTGTGTGCTCTTGAGTTTGGAGAGAGAGAGAATTGTGTCTGCTTTAGAGCATTGTGGTAACTATATGTACCACTTGCTTTACAGTTAAATAACTCAATATTTCGCCATATACATAGTAAGTCAATAGTATGTTTACTAACTTTGTGTTGCTTGTTCCTGAATTTAAAATAAGAAAAAATGTTCCTATAAACCCGTCGTGCATAAACCACATTTGTTTTGTATTCAGAGGTATATTTTGAAGACAACGTGGCAAGCGTCATCTTAGGAATCGGCGATGTGAAGGTCCTCTTACACGTGATGAACGCACGTATGGACCAATAAGAATGTCGCCAACAATTCCTGCCCAAACGTTTATTGAAAATCTTTACTGAAAACTGGATTCACTTTGATATAAAGTCATTCACTGAATCTTATTTTTGGTTATTATTTCGAAAATGAAACATTTGCGTCCCCATGTTCATAGGAACATTTTTCCTTATTTTTGATTCTGAAACACGCACACACAGATTGTAAAAATACTTTTGACTCACATATTTGTATACAGTATGCCCCACAACAGATGTCCAAAGCTTTACTACGTGCTCTGGGGACAATTATAAGCCGAAAAGTTCAAATAAACATGGGTCCGATCTGCAACTTTTTGCCAAGAAAATGAGAATGGGCATGTTATTGAATTTGTAACATTTACATTATTTCCATTTAATTTTAGGTCACATTGTATTTATCATTATTCTTATTATAAAGTTCACACTAACTCCAAATGGATTTTCAATTACTCACGTTATTTCCGTGACTCGAAATAGGGAGACTGTTGGTCGATGCACAGTTGAGCCCTTCGTGTAATTGAAGTAACAGCCCTCTTTACACAATAATGTTCATTTTCGATGTTGGCACCCGAGTCAATTATTCGATTGAGCAAATCAGCCCTACTGTCTGACTTGATGTCTAACACCTGTGATTTCATGTGTCTCCGGAGAAAGCAGTGGACTACATCGGCCAATCTGACGGTTTGGAGAATGTTGATTCAGAAATGTAGTCACCTGCCTACCAAACTGATGAGGTGCTTCATGATGCTGCAGCCACGTCTTCCGCCTGGTTAGCAGAGGAACATCTTCCAACCTGAATGGCAGCTCTTCCTGTAGGACACGCAAGTAGCGCTGATATGTCAAGCGGTCTTCAAGCACTGACTGCCCTGTGACTTGCCCACGAGCTCCACGTGCGCAGCTTTGTGAACTAATTTCTCAAACACAGCAAATGCATAGTGAGTGCTGAGCATTTTCTTGACAAACCGTTGGAGATCGGATTTTTGAACTTTCAGAATCAAACTGATCCCAAGAACACGTAGTTAAGCTAAGGACATTCTATTGCAGGACAATCCGTGTATTCTTTTGGTGTCAAGATTGAATGACGATTATTTTCCGTAACATTATTAAGGTACTGTTATGTGCATATTGATGCGGTGCGTTGGAAGTAATTCTAATTTGAAATTTGTAAAAGACCTTACAAATATTAAACATAGTTTTAACTCTAAAATAACTGTTTTGTCGGATATTGTGGCGTGTAGTTCAGTGTAAAGTGACAGACGTTTTAGAAATCCCATATTTTCGACTTGCTTATGTCATTGTTGTGCTTATTTGCACAATGTACATGAAATGAACGCAAATAGGGCTAGTAACTCCACATGACTCAGCTCGAGAACCACTAGATGGTTTTGAATTAAATCTAGATTGTCATTGGCGATTGCCTTAAAATAGTGTTTATCAGTTTCTTTCAATCAGTAATAATCAACATGGCGAGCAAAGAAACTTGTTAGTTGGGATCGACACAAACTCTACTTGCGATAAGGCCATACAATGACGTATGGTTATAGATTTTTGGGAAATACAAAATTTTGGTACAATAATTATTTATATAGTGTAGAACAACAACATGGAAAGTGCATAAGAAAATAAAAATAATTTGACATGGCTAGGATTCGATCTTTGGTTTCCAACATTGCGAAGCCGTTATCCCACCAAAGAGCTAAAGTTCATTGAGACGTGTCGGTGTTGTTTAGAGTACTTACAAATAAGTTTCAAGAAATACTACAAACATAGTTAATAGGTTCTATAAATGAATTAGAGAAATTTTCTTTCTGTACGTAATGAACAAATTTACCGGGACTGATTTTATGTAAATATTAGTAAATTTTCTTGCCTTCATTTCTCAGTCATCTGCGTCTGCCCAACATGCGGGAATGTGTTCTGTCGTTTTTCTTCCTGTGAGCGCACAACAGGAGATCGAGAAGGTATTAACACGGGCTGGACCACCTTGAAAAACCGACCCACCTTTAGCGCCAGCGAATGTCGTGTTTCTGAAATATTCTTACCTCTATCAAGACATCGTGATTTTCTCTCGACGACATGATGAGCTGCAATTCTTCTTCTATTTCCGCTTTAACCTACGTAAAGGAGCAAACCAAAAGTGAAACATTAAAATATCTAAATTGATATATAGACTAGAAACATAACTTGAGAGCGTACAACGGACTAAAAACGCAATTTTGCTGTTGGTTTTTACACAGATTGCCTCTGACACCATACTTTATAGGTTAATTGGTTCCACTATGCCCAACAAGATCGCCTAACCCCAGGAGGTGTGCATCGTAATCAAAATTTAATGGAGTTACGTCAATGATTAGGGTGAGATCCAAGTACCACACATACAACGACGATATTGCCGTCTTATTGGGCAAATACAACGGTAATTTGGGGCGTGTCAGCTGCAAGGCCTTGAGGTTATTTAAGTACGCAGTAGAACCTTATGTTACAATAGCCTTACATTTAGATGAACCTTGTGTGCAGCATTACAGGTGACATAGAACGTACATCCTCCAGTCACTGTTCCGATACCCATTCCAATTGACTGAATAGGTATTTCCGCTTCGCTAGTAATCCCGTACAAGAAACCATACAGGGACATGGTCATTATGAACAGATAAACAGCGAAGAATATGCAAGAAGTTTTTTCCATGGCGCCACCTAAAAAATAAAAATTGAAGGATGTACCTTGATCCTTGAATGTCTTTAACGGATGTCACTGAAAATATTTCTTCTGAACAAAATTACATTCAAGGCCATGTTAAAATTGAAATACTTGTTAGCATTGGGTTTAACATATTGTATCCTCCACTCTACTAACTGTGATAGACCTACAAATATAACTCTCTTTAAAAGCTGCTATTACCTTATCTACTCAAAAAATGCACTGTCATTTTTGTTTGAACCAATCAGATCTCAGTAAATAATAAATATAACACATAACTTCATGATTTACACAGTGGACAGAAATATTGGATGAAGGTTACGGCTGGAAATTTAGTACGGTTATAATGAAATCATACAGATGGTTTGATGGCCATACGTTTTGGAAAGTTGTCGTGTGGAAGACTAAGATTTTCTTTTTGAAATTCACAAAGAATTAAAGATATAAAAATGTTGGTAATGAGTTTAGCTATCTACTTTATTCTAAGATCAGATACCATAGTTGCGTCCCTTGCTCAATAACCTTCACTGCACCCGGGCTTACCTGACCGGGAGACCAGTTGGCTGAGTCGCAACCAGAGGATTCTGTACTGCCCTATGCTCTGCGCTGTGTAACACTTCCGCCTCAGTTCCTCCTGCAGAGGGGAACCAAATTATAAATCTTCATATTATACAATAATTGCTGGAAACTCCATGGTGACGAGAGTAATGAAATTGTTCTCTTCACAAAATATTATTTTTTCATCACATGAAAGAGAATGGGGTTGACGTTAAGTCATGAGCAGAATTAAATTTAGTTATTTTCCTTGTCTACGTCAACAGAACTAGATTTGTAACTTTTTCGTTTGAAGCTGTTTGCTAAATGTATAACATAAACGTTGTGTTTTTTGAACAAATTACTTTTCTCCAGAAGTGACAAATTAAGAGAGTCCGTGTCATAAAATATTGCGCATGCTACGCACTTTATAATATTTTAAACTTAATTTTAAGGCTGTATATTTAAATTGTTATTCTCTCAACATCTTGTTTCTGATGAGCAATTGAAGCAGTAGAGCAGAAATTGTAGTGGAAATGAAGTGAATTGATTAGTAATGTGATCAGTTTCTTGAGAGTATGTCATTAATATCCTAAAGCTGTTAAGAGAACTCAGAATGTCAAAGTGCAAAGAAAACAATAGGGAATTCTCTGAACTCCCGTATCGATTGCTTTCAAGATGATAAATTTTTAAAATGGGCCAGTTCATATTGAATTAATTTCGTAGGATTATACGAAAAGAGTGAAAACATTTTTATTAGTTTGATGTTCAGGTATGTATATTTTTTGTGTAATTTGGAATATTTAATATCCTATTGCCTTTCCTGATTTTTTATAGCAAATATAACTCTATTCTTTCAGCGCTAAACACATCTAAGACAACACAGCTTAGTAACAAATTATTGCTCGTTTCTTGTAAGCTGTGAAAGAAACGAATGAACGAATGATTCAACTCTAGAACCACTGGACGAGTTTTAGTAAACTTTTGGTGTGGACTTTATATTTTATTAATTGTCGCATGTGTTCTTCAAAACCATATTAAGGGACGTTTAAACATATACTGTACACCTTCTGAATCCATGTTGTTCTGACAACAGTTTTTGATAAAAAAATTTACTCAGACGAAAACAAGAAAGACGTCATTAATATATGTCATTTGAAAATTTTAGAAAATACACAGGCCTATATCATACTGTACATTTCCCCGATTCGTTTGTTAATTAGAAGAGAATGAGGCAAGTCAATTATTAAATCTTATGCTTAATAGGTAATTTTATGTATTTTTATCGTCTGCGAACGTTTGCTAGTGCAGATTTCTTTAGTCTCCTGTTAGCTCATTACCCAAAGCTTATAATCTGTAGAATCAACCATACTTCTTAGTTAGACAAAATTCTTTTTGAACTTCTCATAAAGTAAAAGTTACGAAGAGATGGATACCTACACACTAAAAGAAATTCCACCTGATAACGTTTCATGTAGGCCTTAATATCAAATTTAATCCATATCTATTCATCAGTGTCAAACGGAAGCCGTCGCTATTCACATACCTTCAACGTTCGCAAAGAGACTCAATTCCCTTCTGGCGACGTTTTAATATATAATAAGAAGGTTTGATACTAAAATTCAGTGCACTTACTGTATATGAACCCTGGAGTTAGAAGGGAACATATGCAACTTGAACTGTCAGTTTCTTATAGCAGACCTTAAAATTCCTGGACAGAGACTTTCCGGCTGTGGATAGATTTCCGCACGTGGTAATCCAAAGTGTTAAATAACAGCTAACTAGTGTTATGGCGTAGAAGAAGCCCGGAATTTGCCATATGCGAATGTATGGAGTGGAGAAGTGGAATGCTATAGCTGCAAACCCAATGGTGGAGCAGCGGATGGCGTGAAAAATGCAGCGTTTCTTGACGTTCAATGACAGTCTATTATGAGTGACTTTGAGGAAGAGTATCTGAAAGAGAAGAAAACTTCTATTGTAATTCAGTGTGTTTGTTGTTTGTCAATTAAATTATTTTCGAGTTTCAACAAAATCTACCATTTGCTTTCAAAAATTAATTTACATACCTGAAATTCAGTCCACTTGTTGATGTAATGAACATAGTTGGAGGCGTCCAGCCATAGAAGTACAGGTGAACTTATGGAAGTAAACATAAATAAAATTAGCATTGAGTAGAAGATCGTGTTTAGGAAATCGATCTTCCCAGAAAAGAGCACGGACGACAGATCCCCGACGATGAAACAGATTATAACCGTTGTTACAGCATAGATGCACATGGAGTAGGCCATGATTGACGAAAACAGCTGGAATTTTGAGACTCCTGAAATTATAGGCAAATTTGAAACAAATTGTGGGTTGGGGAACATTGACATTGGGGTAAGGTGCTTTTATTAGGTTATGGGATCTTATGATATCATTAAACTTGTAACCGTTGTTGTATGGTTTCTTTACCGAATTCGTTTTTGGAGAATGGTATTTTGTGCAATCTGTTTACAAGGAAATTGAATGCAGCTTGTTTGTGAGAGTTGGAATGGTTAGATGTTTTGCGTATTACGATGTTTGAGAATGTGAGTTTCCTGTAGATGCCGAATTGGAATTCTTTCAGGTGTCTATGGATGGTGAGGTCTATAAAGTTAATCTTATTATTATTTTCTGTTTCTAGGTTGAAAGGCGTATGGCACTAGTGTATATTTTATAGTGTTAATACGTAGGGCATTCAAGAAATTCCCCCGGAATTCCCCTGCAGACGGAGAAGGAGAGATAAGATAGCGCACGCAAGTGTTGTGGTGGGCAGCCGAGAATGTCTGCTCGCAGTGGCAACAGGTCTGGACAGGTTTCGGCGTGCCGTATCGTTACTGTTCCGTTTCAGTTAGACGTGGGTGTAGGTCATTCGGCGCAATGTCATAGTTCGAATAGCGTTCGAACATCAAGTTCATGTACAAATTGGGCAAATCTGCTGCAGAGACGCTATCGGCCCTGCAGCAAGTTTACGGTGATACTGCACTAAAGAAATCCGCAGTTTACGACTGGTTTTCCCGATTTAAGAATGGGCAGGAGACGTTGGTGGGTGACCAGCGCAGCGGGAGGCCTTCGACATTCAGAACCGCGGAAACGATTGAACAAGTGCGACAACTGATTCTATCTGATCGCAGGATGACCATCGTGAAGTTGGAGCATGAAGTTGGTATCTCTCACTGATCCATTCATGCGATTCTGTCCGACGATTTGAAGATGAGACGTGTCAGTGCGAAGTTCGTTAAGAGGCAGTTGACTACGGATCAGATCGAATGTCGCACGGTGCTCGCTGGAGATCTGTTTGAGAAAAGTACGCAGGACACGACGTTTCTCATAAAGATCTTCACTGGTGTTGAGTCATGGGTGTTCGCCTACGACCCGGAGACGAAGATGCACTCACCCGAGTGCACACAGCGTCGTTTGCCCGACCAAAGAAAACGCCTCGTCCGATCCAAGGAAAAAGTGATGCTCATTGCATTCTTTGACATCGACGCACCACGAGTTCGTACCGTCTGGACAGACTGTTACGGGTCATTTCTACGTGCAAGTGTTGCAGAGGTTGCGCCAAGCAGTTCGGAGGAATCTGCGCGACAAATGGCAGGGTGGGTGGTTTCTGCATCACGATAACTCATCGAGCCACACATCGCTGGTTGTGCAACAATTCCTCGCCGAGAAAAGCATTCCCGTCATCACCCAACCACCATACTCTCCGGATCTCGCTCCGAGTGACTTTTGGCTGTTCCCTACTCTGAAAATGGGTCTCAAGGGGACGCGTTTCGCAACCATGGAGGACATCAAATCGAATGCGAAGGCCGAACTCCGAAAGATTTCAAACAAAGCCTTCCGCCGGTGCTTCCAACAATGGCAGGATCGATGGAGCAAGGGTCCTACTTTGAAGGTGATTGGAAAGCGTTGCCATATGTCCTACCATTACAGTGCTATACCACAATTCCGGTAACTTTTTGACAGTAGTGAATGGGGAAGAGGTTCTATTCTTGTAAGAAAAGGGGAACTTATCTGGCACACACTTCAAGACTACTGAAGGCACTAGAGCTGGAATGAATGGCTATGGCTTGAGACAAAGTTTTACCTTTAGCCTTGGACATATATCACTTAATTTTAGGCTAAAGAATATGACATATACTTATGATAATTTTAAAAGGGATATCTGTAAAATAAATATTTAAATTCTCTATAGCTGTGAAGCTGCGATCAAAGCATTTGACAATTACAGGATAAACTCAAGGCTGGTCCGGAACTATCAACAATTTCTGCTGGTATTGTATGTGCCAAAAAGTTGTCAGTGGAACCACGGTTCCGGAGAATTTGACGTAAATACGTTTATACGGAAAGGAAGTTTATATATATGCTTTATTGTAAATATTTCCTTTATACATGCTTTACAATTGAGTAAAGTTTGATTAAGACATTGCTTATTTAACTTGACTTAGTAAGGTTTCAGATGGGTCTGTGGTAGATGAATGTAATGTAAGTTAAGGTAAGGTAAGGTAAGGTAAGGTAAGGTAATGTAATGTAATGTAAGGTAAGGTAATATAATGTAAGGTAAGGTAATAAGGAAGTTTATATATTGGCTTTATTCTAAATATTTCCTTTATACATGCTTTACAATTGAGTAAAGTTTGATTAAGACATTGCTTATTTAACTTGACTTAGTAAGGTTTCAGATGGGTCTGTGGTAGATGAATGTAATGTAAGTTAAGGTAAGGTAAGGTAAGGTAAGGTAAGGTAATGTAATGTAATGTAAGGTAAGGTAATATAATGTAAGGTAAGGTAATGTAATGTAAGGTAAGGTAAGGTAAGGTAAGGTAATGTAATGTAAGGTATGGTAAGGTAAGGTAATGTGATGTAAGGTGAGGTAAGGTAACTATGTAGGTAACCATTGTTGTTTATTTGTTGATAAACAGATGACGTTTCCAAGGTAACATAACAATGAAGTTACACTTTTTCGTTTCCCAGGTGACATAACAATGAAGTTTGACGTTTCCTAGGTAACATAACAATGAAGTTACACTTTTTCGTTTCCCTTTTTCGTAACAATATTTCGTAATACATTTTCATTACATTTTTGCCGAATGATACTGACCCTAAAATATAGACGTATTTACGTCAAAACAGTAGCAGACCACAGCGAAGTTTTGTTGCTTTGAGTGCCGATATAAAGGGTTTGAAGGGAATGAGATTGGTGGTCAGCTGGCAAGAAAGGGCTCCCTGCACCTATGAGCTTCTCTGTGGCATCTCTGAGAAAGTGAAAAGGTAGGAAATCACTGACAGGGTGGGCAGAGAACACCAAGAAAACTGCCTGTCCACTAGAGCAGTGATATTCAACCTTTTATGTTCGCGAACCAGCAGATAAAATTTCTCTTCAACTTGTACCCCCAAAGTTGTTGGTGTATAATTAAAGTAATATATGGTATATACTCTACATTTAAAATAAGTTAGATAAATTACATTATTGATTATTCAGTGTAATATATATATTTTTTGACGTAAATACGTCTATATTTTAGGGTCAGTGTCATTCGGCAAAAATGTGTTACGAAAAAGTGTTACGAAATAGTGTTACGAAATAGTGTTAGGAAGAAGTGTTACGAAAAAGGGAAAGGGAAAAGTGTAACTTCATTGTTATGTTACTTAGGAAACCTCATCTGTTTACTCAGATTTGTTGTTACCTAGGAAACGTCATCTGTTTACTCGGCATTATTGTTACCTAGGAAACGTCATCTGTTTTTTTAGCATTGTTATTACCTATAAAACATTACATTACCTTACCTTACATTACATTACCTTACCTAACGTACATTACTGGTCATTCGGCAAGAATGTTGTTACGAAAAAGTGTAACTTCATTGTTATGTTACCTAGGAAACGTCATCTGTTTACTCGGCATTGTTGTTACCTATAAAACATTTTATTACATTACATTCAGCTACCACAGACCCATCTTAAGCGTAACTAATTCAAGTTAATGCAATGTCTTAATCAAATTTATCTCAATTGTAAAGCATGTATAAAGGAAATATTTAGAATAAAGCCAATATATAAACTTCCTTTCCGTATAGACGTATTTACGTCAAATTCTCCGGAACCATGGTTCCACTATCACTTTTTTAAATTTCACGTGCCCCCTAAGATGTCTTCGCGTACCCCAGGTTGAATACCGCTACACTAGAGGACGAAGACACGAAAAGAGGTTTTAATTTGAGCCCTCTGCTAAGAGCACTGTCGAGTTCGTAAAGGTAAACAGAATCAAGCGTATACAAAGGCCAGGCAGGCTAACAATGTCACGGGACTCCATTCGAAATTGGTGATAGCAGACAGCGCCATCAATGGAAAGTGCAAGAGCGAAATTGAAATAACTTCATATAACTCATGATATTGTGTGGCCTTCGCAGAAATACATTTTCTTCATTTTAACATGCATTCCATGAAGCCAAGCGTCAACCACGAAGTCCCTTTATGATAGATATTGTGCTTAACATGGAGTTAATAACGGTGAGCCAATTTTTTGGAAACACAAAAAATTAGGAAATGCTTATGGTGCAAGGGAAGGTTACGCGCCCACTCCATTTGTATACATTTATTCACACAAAAGACTGTTCTACTCACAACTGCTGCCCTGATTATGCCAGCTTGAATATATATACGTATATATATATATATATATATATATATATATATATATATAAAGGTATACCCTGTTAAAAATTTAGTAATTATAATAAATGTGTATTGAAATATATTTATTATACCCATTTTTCATATTTGGAATCATCTTATAAAATAGTCGTTTTCAACTACAATACAAGTATTATAATGCAATAATAACTGTACTTACCCCTAAATAGCAATTTAATTGGAAGGAACCCGAAAAAACGCATAACGATAAAGAGTGGTTTTAGCTGATTATGAAAGAACTCATTTGAAACATCAGCATCTGTCGAAATGCCGGTTGGAGCGCACAATTCTGGTTTGCCAATGTAAAACTTCTTCCTGTTCTCTGAGTTTATTGCCAAAGGGTCTTGCAGACCTACATGAGCTATTTGTGCAGGCAGAAAGTGATTCGGTTTTGAAACCATGTTTCTCTCTACTGAAATTTCGTTAATAGCTGAAACATGTATTTTCCTGAGAGTGTATATAAACGTTACTCTATGTTAGTAACGGTATCCAATCGTAGTTTGATGTTTTCAATTTAACAAAGAATTTAATAACATTATTAGAAAGATAAGATCATAAACTGGGAAATTGCTCTGTTAGTATTAATTTGAGTTAGTGCGTTTATGGCCGCTTTCTTACATAGATTGTATCATTTCCTTATTATGTTACACGTTTTAGATAAAGACTTTTAATTTTAAAGTAATTAATATTTATAATTTAAGACAGACCATAAAGTGACTGGCGACGGGCAGAACGCTCAGGAATCGATTTCCGGTGACGATAATAATCTATGTGTTCATCTGCTGGAGAAGTATCCAGAAATGTAGGACCTGCACCTCTTTTTCCAAGTTCCGGCGAGTTTTGGGCATTCACTCATCATCAACACGTGGGCCTGCGAGCAAAAGCACGTTTGTCGATAAGCTTGTATTGTAATTTAATAAATTACAATGTAGTTTATTATTGCCATGTATATTGAGGGTCCCTCGTACCACCGAATGTCGCGTCCTCACGTTGCGGATAGAGGAACGGCCTCCAGGTATGAAGGTTATCTGCGAATATATTGAATAAGCAGTCGTGGACAGCGGCCGAAGTGTGGTCCTCCAGCTTGGGGGTTGGGCATAATGCTCATAACCTTTCACCGTAAATAAATATTGCTACAAACAAATTACCTAATACTCTGACCAGGACGGACTCTTTGGCACGACCGTGGCAATTGGAAAGCGATATGAGATTTGTAACATGGAATATTATGAGTCACTATAATGCTGGGACACTGAAATCAGTGAGTAGGGAATTAGTAAATTTTAAGTTAGATGTAGAGGCAGTGCAGGAGGTGCGATGGGACGGGGTGGCAGGATTCCAGTGAACAATTTCACGTATTTCTATGGAAAGGGGAATGACAGTCATCAGTTAGGGACGGGGTTTTTTTGTTCATAGCAGAATTAGGGCAGCAGTTAAGAGAATAATATTTCTTAGTGACAGGTTGTCTTGCGTAATTTTGGAAGGACGTTGGTTCGACATCATTGTCCTTAATGTTCATGCCCCAACTGAGGACAAAAGCAATTATATCAAGGATAGTTTTATGAAGAATTAGAATCAGTATTTGATGCATTTGGAAAGTATCACATGAAAATTCTACTAGGAGATTTCAATACAAAAAGTGGGAGGGAGTGGCAAAGTAACAATATCAATTTGAAATTTGAAATAGGGTTCAATTTTTAGAGACAAATAGAGATAATGAAAATGTGGACATCAACAAGTAGTGGGAAATGTCAGAAACTACATCAATTTTTCAGCTAAGGAGAAACTAGGTTACTGCAGGTGAAAGCAAAATAAACCATGTTTTAATGAAGAATATTCAAAATTAAGAACTGGAAGGAAACAAACAGAATTTTGGCTAGACGTGAAGTTAATAGAACGTTTAATAATACGAAAAGGGGATATCTGAAGGACAAAATTGTTGAACTTGAGACAAATAATAAGGACAAAAATATCAGAGACTTGTACAGAGGCATTAATAACTTTAAGAAAGGATATATTTCTAAGACTAATTAGATAAAGGATAATAATGGCAATTTGCTTGTAGATCCAGTGAAAATTTTAAATAGGTGGAAAGTTTTCATATCCAGCTCTTAAATGTTCATGAGACGGATGATGTTAGGCAGAATAAAATACATACAGTTGAACTGTTAGTGCCAGAACCTAGTTTAGATGAAGTTGGATTAGCCATTGAAACGTTATAAATCTTCAGGTGTTGATCAGATTCCAGCAGAATTAATTAAAGCAGGTGGCAAAAGGATGCATATGAAGATCCATAAGCTTATACTGTTAATTTTCGATAAGGAATGGATACCACAACAATGCAAGAACCCCATAATTATCCCTAATCATAAGAAGTGACCAAAGACTGAGTGTGGTAGTTAAAGAGGAATATTTCTGCTATCAACCTGGTACAAAATTCTGTCAAACATTCTTCTGGCAAGATTAACTTTATATGTGAATGAAATTATTGGGAATCATCAGTGTGGGTTCAGACGAAACAGATCAAAAATTGACCAGATCTTTTGCATTTGTCAGATACTAGAGAAAATGTGAGAGTTTAGTTGGACCGTACATCAACTTTTCATCGATTAAACAGAAGCCTTTGACTCTGTGAAGAGAGAAGTGCTATATAATATTTTTATTGAATTTTGATTGCCAAAGAAGCTAGTTAGTCTAATAAAAATGTGCTTAAATGAAATCTGTAGCAAAATTCGAGTAGGTAAATATGTATCTCAGTAATTTTACATGAACCGCCGCGGTGGTCCAGCGGTCAGAACGCTAGCCTTGTAATTTTGGGGTCCCAGGTTCAATTCCCGGTGGTGCTCAGATTTATAACTTGTGTTGGGCAAGGCCGTGGTCAAGGCATCACGGGGTTTCCTCCGGGGGCTTCCCCGGTTTCTCCGTCGTATCCCAACAATTACTCCATACACACAAAAGAAGGCAATGGCAAACCACTACTGGATCATCTGCCTAGAAAGCATATGAACAGGTCCCTGTCAACCTGAAGAGGATGGAAGGATACTGTTCATAATGTCACTAGGTGTCGACTCCGACCAGAAGGTACAAAAAAAAAATTACATGCAGCACGATGTAAAACAAGGAGATGCTTTGTCTCCCTTGCTCTTTAACTTTGCGCTAGATTATGCTATCAGGAAAGTCCAAGATAGGCAGGAGAGTTTGCAATTGAACGGGACACATCAGCTATTGCCATATGCTGATGATGTCAATTCATTGGGTGACGGTATAAAAACAAAAAAGAGAGGTTTTACTAGAGGCTAGGAGACAGGTGGGGGCTAGAAGTAAATTGAGAAAAATCTAAGTACATGTTAGTATCTCGTCGTCAGCAGACTTGGTTGATAAATCCTTTGAAAGTGTTACAAAGTTACAAAAATGGGAAAAACAATAACTCATGATTATGTTAGGAGGAGACTATTTTCCGGAAATGCTTGGTACTTCTCAGTTCAAAATATTTTGTCTTTCAGTCTCATTTCTAGGAACCCGAAAATTAAAGTACACAAAATAATAATTTCGCCTTGTGCTTTGTATGGGTGCGAAACATGGTCTCTCAATCTGAGAGAGGAAAACAGATTGCAGGTGTTTCAGATTAGGGTGTTGAGGAGGATATTTGGGCCTAGGATAGAAGACGATGGGACATGGACAAAACTGCATAATGACGAACTTAAAAATCTGTATTCCTCCCCTAATGTTGTCAGGGTGATTAAGTCGAGAAGAATGAGATGGCCTACTCCACGTTCACTTATGCTGTAACAACGGTTATAATCTGTTTCATCCTTGGAGATCTGTCGTCCGTGCTGTTTTCTGAGAAGTTCGATTTCCTGACCACGATCTTCTACTCAATGCTAATTTTGGTTATGTTTATTTCCATAAGTTCACCTGTACTTCTATGGCTGGACGCCTCTAACTATGTTCATTTCATCAACAAGTGGACTGAATTTCAGGTATGTAAATTAATTTTTGAAAGCAAATGGTAGATATTGTTGAAACCCGAAAAGTATTATATTGACAAACAACAAACACACTGAATTACAATAGAAGTTTTCTTCTCTTTTAGCTACTCTTCCTCAAAGTCACTCATAATAGACTGTCATTGAACGTCAAGAAACGCTGCATTTTTCACGCCATCCGCTGCTCCACCATTGGGTTTTCAGCTATAACATTTCACTTCTTCACTCCATACCTTCGCATATGGCAAATTCCGGGCTTATTCTACGCCATAACACTAGTTAACTGTTACGTAACCCTTTGGCATACCGCGTGCAGAATTCTGTAAACAGCCGGAAAATCTCTGTCCAGGAACTTTAAGGTCTGACAAATAGGAGTAATAGAAATGAATTTTATGTGATCCTTTAAAATCTAAGTCAGTTATTAGACGAAATGCGTCGGGAGGCTCTTAAATTGCACATGTATAAAGCAAATCAGTTTCTTATAATTATTTACGCACTGAAAATATGAAATTATGTCTAATAAAAGTTGCTTATTCTTCCAGGGCAATAAAATTTGTTTGAAAAGCAGCCTTTAGTGTAAACAGCTCCATCCTACACTGGCGGTACGTTATAATGCATTGTAACAATTTTAACCTTTATAATATCTCATAAAATCCAATATGAATAAATTTTACCATATTCTTCAGGGATGTGATATATTTATCAAATAGACTGTATAAAAGGGTCCTGTGGTATATTTAAACTCCGTCAGAAGTGTTAACGTTTCTTGCACGAAGTAGAGGTTGAACTACAATGCTCATCATATAAAGTCACATTAATTAGGCGCACAATAACCCCCCCCCCATTTATTTCAGATAAATTATATACATATAAAATCCATTTGCATCTAGGTCTTTAAAGTTGCCTCTTTCTCTCTAGTCTGTAAACCAAAAATTGGTTTGCATCCTCATACATGTCAATACGTATTATTTACCTTGACGCCCCATTTTCTTTGGTTTCATAATTGGATAATACTTTGTGAAGAATACAATTTTATGAATCTTGTCACTATGGAACATCCGACACTTATTGTATAATATGAAGATTTATAATTTGGTTCCCCTCTGCAGGAGGAACTGAGGCGGAAGCGTTACACAGCGCAGAGCATAGGGCGGTACAGAATCCTCCGGTTGCGACTCAGCCAACTGGTCTCCCGGTCAGGTAAGCCTGGGTGCAGTGAAGGTTATTGAACAAGGGACGCAACTATGGAATCTGATCTTAGAATAAAGTAGATTGATAAACTCATTACTAACATCTTTATATGCTAAAATGAGAGAAAAGAGATCATTGGCGTTGTACGGGGAGATGAAATTAGAGTGGGGTAGACAGGGTTACATTGGTTGTTGTACGAGGGCGGAGAGGGAAGGATGGGCATGGTTCAGAGCGGGTATTTGGAAGCTGAGAGGGATGAGGGGTGGCATGGATGAAAAAATATGCCCTTTATGTGGGGCGACAAAAAGCAGGATTCACATACTATTAAAGTGTACGGAAACCGGGAGGTGGAGGGAACGGCTCCTGAGGAACAAGTGGTTTACAACTGGCGAAGAGTTGGCCTTCAAGAAAATTTTAAGCACTACGAATGACACGGAGGTCAGGGATGTAGGGAACTTTCTGTACAAAGTAAGATGTAAAAGACAGGTCAAAATTAGGAATTTAGAACTGCTACTGCGATAGAAGACACGGGGGAAATAAGAAATAGTTATGCAAATAGTATTAAGGAATAGGAGGAATAGTTATTTAAATAGTATTAGGGATGAAGGAATCGGTATGTAGAGTAGCATTAGTGAATAGTTGTAGTAAGCAGTAGTGCTAATAGTGCTACGTATGTAAGGACTGTGGCCGTGAAAACCTGGTGTTAGGCGGCCACAGATCTCTGTATATAGTTCTAAACCAAATATATTATTATTATTATTATGAGGTAGCAAGAGAATTTTTATAAAATCAAGATTAAAATAAAGTGAAGTCTTGTCTATGGCAGTCACAATATGATATCGTTAATTTCTTGTGAATTTCAAAAAGGAAATCTTCGTCTTCCACACGGCAACTTTCCAAAAGACATGGCCATCAAAACATCTGTACTAGTAGCTTTTCAAAAGTGATTTTTACTTTTACACCTATCCATACGCGAATTTAAGATTTTGAATCTGGTGACAGTAAACATTCCGCGAATGTGACCTCTCCAACTTCTACCTGGTTGTAATTTTGTAGTAAAGAAATATTCCCAGTGGCCACAGTGACTTTCGTTGTTGACATAAAGGGGTCAATGTATACTATTCAATTTTAATTTTTTAGGTGGCGCTATGGAAAAACTTCTTGCATGATCTTCGCTCTTCATCTGTTCTTAATGATCATGTCCTTATATGGTTTCTTGTAAGGGATTACTAGCATGACGAAAATACCTATTCAGCCTATAGGAATGGGGATCTGATCACTCACTGGCGGAGATGGGCGGGTTATGTGGCACGCATGGTTAGGCAAGTGGTGTAAACCGCTTAATGGTCGAGAAGCCTGAAGAGAGGAGACCGCTGGGGAGACCTAGACATAGTTGGGAAAATAATTTCAAGCAGAATCTGTGGGAGACAAGATTTTAAGGCGATTGGATTTTGCTGGCCCAGGACAGGGTCCAGTGGAGGGCTTTGGTTAGTTCGGTGATGAACCTTCGGCTTCCCTAAGCCCTCTAGTTAGTTAGTTAGTTAGTTAGTGAGTTAGTTACGCTCCATGACTTTCAGTTTGTTCGTTTCTAAATCATGCCTTTCTTGTCAACATTTTCATTTACTTTCGTCCCAATTGACAGAGTTCGTTCTTCTGAATTGTCTGCGCGGCCAGAAATCCGGTATCTTAATGTTCTGATAACAAATCTCCAAAATCTTCGAATGTGCATAGACCACACCAGAAAGTGATAGGTCTGGTGACTAGTCAGACGTTGTCTCCGTTGGTAGTTAGAAATTATCATCCACTAACTTACTTAGTTACTTACTTTTTTTTTCATTTTCAATGACATCTGACTGATGATCATTGCAGGTTAACGCTTTTCTGAATACAATTTCATCGAATCCCCCAGTGATATCGGGTGCGGGGTTCTTTGATATAAACAGATAAATGTTCAGATCGATACGTTTGAGGCTGTCACATCAACTACAACTGCATTACAGTCACCATGTTATAGTTATTTTTGAATGTCTTCTTATCTTCATGCCCATCACTAAATTGCAGCAATCGTTTTAAACAAGAGCCCAATAAGTCCTACTTGAAAACTTCACGGAGCAGAGGACTTCTGAAATCAACATTCGTTTGTGTAGTACACTCCCAGGTCTTGATGAAACCCAAAATATTATCATTGATCCAGTCAATGGACCCTCTCCCGGGCTGTATGAACCCAGTCTGCATTCTCACACTACAATTATTGAATATATGGTGTATTTTATTATTAATTGCAGTTCTAATATTTAGATCTCCCAGATTGTCTCTTCCTTTCAATTCACGTCTACTAAAATTTTGTACGCGCTTATCTCATCCGCATTAATATCAACGCTCTAATTATAACATCCAAAACATCATGATTTTTACTTTTAACCAAATATTAAGGTAATTAAATCAAAGAGAAAAAGATGTACGGAGAATTCGAGTCAGAATTAGATGAAGATGGAAATATAATATTAAAACGGATCTTACAGAAGCAAAATATGAAAATGTATCTACACACAAGGAAGAGATTAAAATGCGTACGGAATTTGAGTCACAAGAACTGGGCTTAGATGGAAGGATAATATTGAAATGGCTCTCAAACATACAGTGTATAATATTGTGCGCACATTAAGGAGATAGGAATTGTATTCATGAAAAGTAACATCAAAATGTATTTCAAACAAGATATGGCAATTTGAATTGCATTCATCTGGCACAGGTAAGATCCCAACGATGAGCTTTTTTGAATACCATAATTAAACTTTTGGTTCCATTAACGACAACCACTATTAATTTTCCAAAGACTATTTACAGGAGTTCGTTACGCCAGAGAATCCATGCATATTGAGCAGCTGATGATCTACCGGTCGAAGTTAGACAATTAAAGGTGCACAGCACGTCGCACAACAGGACAATAAAATTACACTATGAAATACGTCTAAATCCATCCTTATTGTGGTTATATTATTAACGTATTCAAGTCGTAATTTTTTACTGAGTGTCCCACTGCTTTCTTACAGCATGCTTCTACAGTGGTTACGTATATGATAGTTCTACTGCAGTTCAACATGGGACAGCCTAACGACCGTCAGATGAATGCAACTCAAAATACCATTAAATAGCATTTAAGCATTAGACATTCCACAAGGGAACCAGCACAATTAGACCTATTATATAGAAGAGAATAGCATACCACCTTATTACACGTAGAACGTCCATAAAAAAATCGAAATATAATTATTATTGTTAGTATGTAATATTTATTAAACTTCTATAATCTGCCTATTGAAATCTCAAAGAGAATTTAGACAAGACAATATATACGCAACACAAAATTCCTTACGAAGCAAATATGAACTTTTTATATTGAACACACATCTTAAAGCCTGTAATTCAACTAAATATAATGAAACAGATCGATACACACGAATGTATTTATATCTTACACGCATGACAACATAAATTTGTTAATTTCTTTTAAATGTTCTACGAAAACGTTAGTATATTACATGGACTCAACAAGTACATTTTCCGAACAGAACACTTCACATTTTAAATTTGCTTTTCACATTCTGAATCTAAGTCCCAATAACATGGCAGCAACTACAAGAGGCTTTTCAAGAGACAACTTACACAGCAGCAACTAGTCGACATACACATACAAACATGTGCAACTGTAGACTGGAGACAGCAAACTGAAAGCCCGAATGTTGCGGAATTGATCGTCTCTCTTTCCTTCCTCGGAATACTCTACAGGGCACATTTCGTACTAACATGTCTTGCCGAGCACACGTGAAAACTTCACTGTCATACGGTGGCACGTAGACGGAAAAAGAATGAAAACACGAATCTTAAAACAGACATAAAATGAGGATGTGAATTTGATTCGTCTGGCTAAGGATAAGCATAAGTTGCGCGTTAATTAACTAATTTGTTAAAGTGCATAAAAGCGGTAATAAAGCGAATTACATTCAAGCAGTAAAAGGATACACTCGAAATTAATATTCATGCAGTAAAATCTCAGGGAGAATAACATATGAATATAAAATTGCTTAATTCCTTTGCAAATACAATGTTTATTGTTAGGATTCTCTATTGAAATTCACGTTTTATTCGGTTCGGAATCTCCCATTTTCATCTGCAGCAAGACAACGAAGTACGTAAGCATTGCTGACGCATACTGGAACACAAAAATACAATTTCTTGCGTGAGATCCATAGATGTATATGTCTGTCTGATTCAGTTTGAAAAAGAAAAAATACGGACACAGAGAGGCAGAATATCAGGTAAACCAAATAATTTTAAATTTAGAGAACTAAATCTCGAATGTACTAAAGTATATTAAAAAATATGACCTACTATTGCCTTACCAGTCACACAGAGGCCCCCATCACCCCCCCCCCCCCCCGGACACAAATGCACATGAAAACATGCAGGCACAAGTGTAAGTATGAATAGGGTTTCTCCCCCGTATTGATCATCTTCTACCTGAAGATGGAGACAATACATTCTTTCAGCACGATGATAACAAACTACAAGTCTATAGAGCGTCAAATCAAAGAAGATATTAGTTTCAATAGGCGTATATGACATTAGAAAAATACACGTTTTCTCTTGTCAAATATACACGAGAATAATTAAATTATAATATGTTATTGTGTTGTAAGTAGTTACATACTCACCGAAGCGAACAATCTTCTGTTTATATTCGTAAAACCCAACATTGATATCACCGGAGGATTCATCGATATCGTTCCCAGAAAGTTGTTTACCTAGAACAATATATCATGGATTATTACGAAAGATCTATTTATCTTATAAAGTTTTATTACGATGTAAAAATGCATTATTCCTTCTGAGTAAATCTTTTGGGAACTTAAAATTTCCTAAAAGTGCTGATTTGTGTATCTGGATAAGAACCACAAGGAAGAACGTTCTCCAGATGTTAATTAATAACCAGTTCTTTCAAAAAAAGACTATGCATTTTAAAACCACCTCCATAAAACACAACATACGAACATTGTTTATGTCTCGTTCACAGCTGATGTAACAGGGACAGGATATTTGAACTGAGACCGAAATGTATCCTATCTGATTTGAATTACTTTGGAGAGCGAATATTATTAGGGTGTTGATGAGTTAGCTTGTTTACATCTGATCGTAAGTTTCTCTAGAATGAAATGTAATTTTTATCCATAAATAATGTAAACCAATGCGTTAAACTCTCTGAATGCTGCCATGTGAAATATATACGAAAAGCATTTTTCTTCCAATTGGGGAAACGAAGAAATTGCTGTAAATGTTGTAAATTGAGGCGAAGTTGAAACACACATAAAACAGCTTAGGCCTTTCCAGCTTCTTAAAGAATGTAGTTGGTGGATTTTGCCACAGGCTGGATTGTTTTGTCGACTTCTTTCTTGTATATTTATTTAAGCTTTCCCCACATTGTCAATGATCAACTAACTTAATGAGCAAATCATTTGTCAAAATATCGACACATAAATATAGGAATGAATAGAGCCTTCATCCTTTCGGTAGGGCATTTTACTGGAATACGCCTTTAAGTCAAAAAAATTTATAAAAGAAACCTGTTACGCGTACCCCAAAATGTCACTAAATTGACAAACCGTTGCGCTGAACTCGTTGTTTTCAAAATACTAACAAGTTAAGTAACTGAATGAAACACATCGTCTAATCTCTTCCCGTCATTTTAAACTAACTGAATATTGGCTCTAGTACAAGATCATCACAGTAGTTGGAGCATCCGGTATTCTGGTATATTCCATCTGTGGTAGTGAATAAAATTCAAAAATCTAATTTCATATTCATCTATCCTATTAACCACCAATGGACATTAATTTAGGCGCCACATATCAGATTTTAATTGCCTCTGTCAATACTTTTAATACCTGCAATTTGATGTTTCTTGTAGGTCTCAACATATTGAAGAGAAAATGGATTTTGACTTCATTAACAACCCTTAAGGAATGGCCTATTTAAAAGCAATTCAGGGCAAAATTGGAAAATATTCCATAAAGAGTGTAAATGCTCTTTCTCAAAGTACAATACATTACCAAAAAACAGGAAAACTGATCACAAATGTGAATCTTGCCGACAGTCTACTCGTAAACGTCACTGCACAAAGAAACTTACTATTCAGGTTTTCAGTTTAGTAGTGACTAAATCTGTCACGTGATTTGCTATTTTATCATAGAATGTAGTTATAATGCTCATTATAGTTTCATTTTGTTTTATAAGGCGGTTAAACAAAGAGTTCATAAATGGACTCCGGTAAATTATACAAGTTTCACTTTTCTTATTGCATGTCAAAGAATAATCATGGTCTTGTAGAAAGAGAGGAGTTTGCACACTTTATTTAAATTTTGAGTAAACTTCCATGAAGAAGAAATATCTTATCGACGAAAACTGATATAAAAATTAATTCACCGCAAGAAAACCGCAATTAACAAAAATGCTTTCAATCATTAAATTTCTGCACTACTTTCCAGCATCCTTCGATAATTCGTACTCCATGCATATACTGACCTCCTGCTGTATGTCCTGCCTTCTGCACCATGTTGTGATGTGATGTAACTCCTTCTGAACTTTCGTTTCGACCTGCAGTAACAAACAAAGTTGTAAGTATTTGGGGCGTAATGAAGTGTTGTGTTTTATTTTAATTACATGTGACATATGGCCGACGATTGCCATTTCACTTTAGATTTTGTGAGTGTGTACGTCTTCATGTAGGGGTGTGGTCACCGTCAGCTATTTTTGGCTTTGTGGATACAGTGACAACTTCTTACATGGATGTCGATTGCTTGTAATATTTTTATCTGCGTTTCATGTAACTTACAGTTGTCGTAATGTAGTCCGCCGTACTACAAATACAGTAGAAATGAGCTGCACAAAGAAATCCGACCGTGCCCGTAGCAGTCATGGTCATTTCTCTGCTGGAGTGTTCATTGCTGACCCCAAACAGGAATCCGTACAAACATGTGACGAGGCTAAAGAGAAGAAATGAGACGTACAGAGCTAACAGAGTTTCCGTCGCAACTCCTGCAACAAAACAAGAAATTTGTTTGTATTTAAGATGCGCTTTGGGTGCGGTTACAGTTTCAGCAGACTAACAGTTGTGTAATATTTTTAAACAGCGCAGACACTATTCCCAGTGACGGCGTGTGCAATAAAGATGTGCGTTTTCATTACAAGCACGACCTCGCTTTTACACTATCCTGCCTTGCTTGATTTCTCGCTACCAGAGTAGCCACGTTCCGAATTTTTCATTTAATTTTTGTCGGCATGTCACGAAAGGCTCACTCGTTTAATCAAACGCGACTCGCACTGGCTATGATATTAAAATTTTATAGGTTGATATAGTACTGAATATTTAATTAATTATAAGTGTGGAAAAATATTTTATCATTTATTAGGTCTCATATATACACTTTAATTAAGTTTTCAGAAATTGACACATACTTTACACCAATTAAATAAGGATTAAGTTCGATATTGTAGGTAATTTCCGTAATAATGTGACACAAAACGCAGTGTATCAAATGTAACAGGTTTAAGTCACAAGGCGGAGTGATACAAAAATGATCTTACCTGCTCCTGACACCAATTCACTCAACCGCATCCAGAGAATTCTGTACTCTCCTATCATCTCTGCAGACACAGTTCCTTGTTTTAACTTACTCTGGAAAAAGAAGATTAAATCATACGAGTTGACAAGATTAAGTATGTCTGTTAACATTCCAAAATTAAAATTTATTAAACAAATATTGTAGGCGAATATCATGGTCAGGGAATCTATATGCAAATTGGAATAGAATTAGGAAATCGTAAAGTATGATGCCGCAAACAAATTAAAATAATTTATAATATAATTAAAGTATATAACACTGATGATGTTCAGCAGACCACAGACATCTCCCATGTTCTGAATTTGTTTGTAATATACATACCGGCCGATATATTATATCCGTTATGAACATAAACTACTGCCCTGTGACATTAGAAAGTATTTTACAAAATTTGAAAACTGATTTTTCAATGGCAGTATTTTAAACAGAGGAGGAAAACGTAGTAGGCAAATGCAAAATTACATTCACAAACCCAAAATTAACAGAATAGCCATTCTGTATACCAACGTATAGGAAATCTATTTTGTAAGAATTCGCAGGATTTTATAAAGAAGATCGTGAGGAATCCAAATAATTATTAATTGAATTTTTTTATATTTTTACATCGACAGCAAGTTAAATAAGAAAGAGACTATGTATCCAAAGTTTGTTTTTGCCTTCTCATGACACTTTTGTGTATACCATTTCTAAACGTACGACATCACAAAGAAAACAAACCAGTTAATTGCAGACAAATACTACAAGGCACAGGAAAAGGCAAACTATGACGACATGCGATGGAGCTACAGGTGAAGCTCCAGGAATTCTTAGCCTAGGAAAACGAACGAATACACAACTAAGTACATAATATAAATTTCAGTTGTTCGTACTTTGTGGATCGTTTAACGATGGTGTGTCAAATATCAAATTCTTATAACTTAACATTTTTAATTTCCCTGTAATTTAGTTTAAAATACCTAGCTGTAAAAATAAAGTAAAGCAGCCCCTCTACACCTCATATAGGTCGCTTGAATCGGCACTAGATGAGGGTGAGTGGTAGGCATCACGCCCTGGCCCATGGAAAAGAATTCCTGTACCCATTGAACAAGAAGCTGTGTGAGCCCCAGAACCGGTCAGGACGCAGAGGCTAGGGGAAAAATCGTGTGCTTCCGTCGAGGATCGAACATCAGCCCGTAGATAGTCACTGTACTGACTGAGCTATCTCTGAGCTCCTAAAATATCTAGTTGTTAAAACTAAAAAATGTGTCAAAAAATTTTCCATTAGAACACCTGAAATTTTTAGACCTGTTTGTCTGAAACCATTCCCAGTTGCAACGTGCAAACTCAAATGTACCTTGAAACATGTCGCGTATTTGCTGCCAGCTAACGAAAGGCTGTGGAAAGTGATCATCCAGTAACTAACCATAATTTCCGCCAATATGCCTGAAAACATATAACTAGGTAGGGCTAATAAAGGAACTCGTGGTTCGTAGAAGTAAAAGAAGATAGTTGAAGTTCCTCCCAAGCAGCTGAGAACTGCGTAGCAAATACATCGCCTTCGAACGGACAATACCAACAGCTGCCCAGTGACTTTCCGGAACAGTATCTGCAACAAAGGGTTGTGTCAATACAACTTTTGCTCAAATCAAATGTCAAAACAATTGAAGTCAATACTGGTGTAAGGAAATCAATTGTGAGCTTGCGAAAATAAAACATCACCAACAATAACAAACATCCTTGAACCTTTATTTTTCAAATAAAAACAGGTGATATTCTATTCAGAATCCCAATAAATTCTATGATAAAGAAATCTAGTAAGTTGGACCTATTAGGATAGTCTTTGGGAAAAATTGATACCATAACGAAATGCCAAATGTAATTAGGTGTTTATTCACAGGCCATGAGGCGTGTAAGTATGGACTCCTGGCTGTGGCAGTGTACGAAGAGTTAGATTACAACGCCGCTCTAATCGGGCTGATGGCCAGAGAATGATTCACTGTATTCAATCACCATGAAAGCTTCAAATCTTACAATAGAACCAAATATTATGTTTTGCTGGTAATAACTGATAATTCCTTATGATACAGCGTGTAGCATCAGACTTTTATTTCATCAACAACTTTGTACCAAAATAGATTATGCAATCACCACAACCTCATTATTAAGTACCTTTTCTGCTGAGTTTCGATTAAACTTTGCCATCATCAGGCGAGCATAACCAATAATAGTTTCACTTACTTCAACAATACTTTTATAATTTATGTAGCTGTTACTTCATGCATAATGGTAACTGAAAAAGATATAATGGTACTAATTCAAATAATTCGGTGTAATTTTCGTGATAGTTGTGAACTGTTAGTAAAGCAGGGGCAATTTTGCATAGTTCTGACAATATGAATACTGAGCTTGTAAGCATTATACCGACGAAAGATTCAGTAAGAAATCAGTGCAATACTAAATCAGGTCCTACGGAATAAGTCTTCTACGCTTGACCATGCTCAGCGGGGAACATCTTAGATCACATGAAATCACAGGTGATAGCCAACTAAAATATAAACACGAAATGGAATCGCAGTAGAACTTGATGGACTATTCCGTGAACATACGAGGTGCGATCGGAAAGTTTCAAGACTGCGCGTATAAAAACCCGTACACTTATCTCAGGTATTAAATTCATCCACCACCCTCGAAGTAGTTCCCCTGGGAGTGAACACAACGATCCCAGCGCCGCTGCCAAGCCTGGAAGCATCCCTGGAAATCTTTCTTTGTCAGCCTGTCAAGCACCATCTGCGATTCTGCCTGAATCTCTTCTATCGTCTCAAATCTCCTTCCCTTTAGCTGAATTTTCATCTTTGAGAAGAGGAA